GGGGTCAGTCGTCAGCTATATTAAGGGGTTATTACAGAAAAATGACTTTCAATTAATACCAATGAGGGGGATCAGATGAATTTTATTATGATATGATTAAAATCTTCCAACCCCTCAACCCTACCCCCCCTCCTCCCGCCCTCCGCGCCCAGGTGATACCCAGTCACGTCTGATAGATTTGGAGTAGTAGTTCCATTCAACCGAACATGTTTTCCGGCAAGCACTCGAACCGGCGAAAGGGAGAGGGAAATAGAATAGTTTCAATCAAGTGAAAAAAAGAAAAGTTGGTTCCTTAAAAAAGTGAGAATAAGACAGCAGATTGAATGTTTTACACCCTTTATTACATTCATTTTCTTTTGGAGATTATGGCAGAAAATTGAATGTTTTACACTTTACACCCTTCAACGCATTCATTTTATTTTGGAAATATTTTAGGGAATAGGGCAGCTGATATGCCGGCTGATAGTGTCTATGGCTGAGAGAGTTTGGGTCCGAGAAGTGAACAGCTTCCCGAGAAGCTAAGCTTCGAGAACAAACGAGAAATTTGTCCTAATATCAATAATATCATTCACATCAAGCAAAATTTTAGAAGTAGAAAGAACAATTTTAAGCAACGAGACAGCTTGATTTTAACCCGATTTTTCAGAACTAGAATCACAAAAATGTACGGCACACAGTATCGAGATATTTGGATTGAGAGGGTCAGGCCCAAGCAAAAAGTTATATATTATAACACTCCAAATTGAATAAATAGGCCTATATGTTTGGAAAATAAAAAAATAAAAATAAAAAAATTCAAAGCATAAAGTTGGCGACGAGCTGTCGGTAGTTATCACACTGTCTGTACAAAAAAGATCAAAATCTCTTTCCAATTTGCGAAAGCAGCCGAAAAACGGTCAAGTTTCCTTCAATCAGTCCTTTAACGGTGTAAGGAATGTTGTGTTTGGAACAAAAGCGCCTCAAAATCTTCGATGCAAGAGGTAAACTGTGACGAGGTAAAGTAGGCCATATATGATGTTCTACCTGGTATGCCAGACCACCGCTGAACCACGTGTTAAAGACCGTGGGCGTGATATTGCAGGTGGAGTGAACTTGAAGGCGGACGAAATCAGTGTCATTCATTTCCTCGCTTGTGAACATCTCCATTGCATAATGACCGACGGTGAAAATAATAGCGAGAAAAATCCCACCGAGTGACTGACATGTCAGTTGGAAAACAATTCTTGAGGTGGCCGTTTCTAGGAGTGACGTGATGAATGCCACCGAAAGGTAATGGATAGCCATTGTAGAAATCTCGGCGATTTTCATACGCAAACCACCTACATATTTATGCACAGGCTCCAGTTGAAAGAGGAGTGACTGCAGCAGCCATGATATACGAGCAGCTGCATTCAGCGGCAGATAGAAGAACTTTTGATACCTGACCATAAACTTTGGAAGGTCCTTAAGATCTTCTGTGTCGCCTTCGATGATCTTCTCTGACCACAACAGGAATGGCATCGTCATAATATCTGGGTCTCCTCCGGCTTGGGTGTGCACCACGTTAGTGGATGCGTGATGGTGATTGTGCTTGGCCTTCCACCAAGAGGTTGAAAAGCCTTGCCATATGTTGCCAAAGAAAAGGCCACCTAAGTTGTTGTAGCTGCGGTTGGTGAATACCTGATGATGGAGGAAGTCATGAGCCAGGAAGGCACTCTGCTGCCAGAAGAGAGCCATAAGAACACCGCCTATGATTGCACCAGCAAATCCATTGAGTACTAAAATTGCAGCCACTGCAGCAGCCAATATGGCAGCATTGGAGGCAATCTTGAATGCGTAATACAACTTTGAGGATTCAAATGCACGAGCCTTCATCAGCTCCGACTTCATTGCTATGATATCCTGTCTGTACTCTGTCTCCTTTTGGGAATCTGAGGGAGTTATGCGTGAATCCTTCACCAGGTCACCAATGTAAAACCGAGGTAACCATTTGTGCGCTGAGGCAGGATGGAATGCGCCGAACACATCGGTGGCATCTTGGCCCGCGTGCGTGAAAATGATGGTACCTCCTGGATGCTCTACACCAAAACTGGAAACATCGTAAACTCTGTCCTTGATCGCTATCCAGGTCTGGCAGCCGTTAGTTCCATTGTGTTCTTTTAACTCCGTCTCAGTGATGAACCTTCCATTACTCTGTGGTGCCTTTGTGATTGCACCTTTTCGTTGGACGGTGTTAGGTGCCATGACGTGGAGCTTGAATAAAGTGAAAAGGAATGGAAATTGTTTGTGAGGACTTAAACAAAAACAGTATGGAAAAAGGGAAAGTAGAAGGACGTATTTCAGCATTTTTGGGTGTTTCTTAACGGTGAGGTCACCTTTTTGTATGTATTGCGGACTTAATAGAGCCTGGTGTGCACTTGTAGTTGCACCTGGGATTTCCAAGTCTGAAAGTCTACAACTTAATCTGTTCGGCATTAAAAAAACAAGCAAACAAACAAACAAACAAAAACAAACAAACAAACAAAAAGAAACAAAAACAAACAAAAAACAAAACAAAACAAAACAAAAAAACAAACATAAAATTCGACGTTTTATTTAGAGTTTTCAATTTATTTCGCCAAAAAAACTCAGTGCTGAATTGTAAAGACGTTTTAGAGCTCTATGATAAATACCAGAAAAGCAGGATTTTTGAAGGCAAGAGCTTTTTCACGTTGGATTTACCTACTTCTACATAACATTGTACATTGGCCTTTAAACTGAAAAAAATCCGTTTATTTTATATGTATAGGATCAGCTGACTGTTACACGCAATTTGATTGGTTCTTACGATCTTTTGGAAGACAGACGCGCAGATGACGTCACCATCAACAAAAGTTTACTTTGTCATTATAAAAAAAGCAAAAAAAAAAAACAAAAAACAAAAAAACCAAATAGATTCCATGTCAGTAGCCGTCCGTGGGTCTTTACAGTAATAGCTCACAAAGACGTTAAAATGCGGTTAGAATATTAATAACACACTGAGCTTCGCCTCGTCTGCCACTTTTTATCTTTTACTGCATTTCTATATCATCAGCGAGCTGCGGCATAAGATCAATTTGTTAGAGGGAAAAGTAGCTTACGGGCAATCTAAATTGGTGAGTTATGCGAGCAAACGTCGCCGAGTTCGTACTATTTGTCTGTAATTGCTTTGCTGTCATTGAGCAGTAACGCTTCAATGGTTGGCCGTGGCTGCTTATTGAGTTAATTTTGATAAATATCGCGTTTAGCATGCTCGAATAAAGTTCAACAATCGAGTGGAACTATGCGGAGAAAGCTAGCGTGAGCTTGACTTTCTTAGTGACAGCACTCGCTAATCAAAGTTCAGACGGATGTTTTGAAAGAATAGTGAACCAATGTAACACGCTAATCTCCTGTCCTTTCTTCTACCTTTTTACTTTCCAAAGAAGTGATCCTGTTGCGTGTCTGTCTCCCAAGGTACTCCATCTGCCCCGTATATTTTATCAGTGCGCTTTGTAGCGGAACTGAGCTATGTCTACTATGCTAATCATGTCGTATTCTGACGTAGCCAGTCAACGAGCCACTCAACCATAAAAAGAAACGATTTCAACATATCTCTTGACATTTACAGTTTATGACTTTCCCGATAATCCCAAGAATTAAGTACGAATACGTCCCGTCAAATTTAAAAGGAAAAGAATCTTTACTGATCGTTGTAATTATGGAATTTTTCTCAGACGAAACGAACTTCGTCCGTTGTCAGTATCAAACTAACCGTCACATTTTAGAAGAAAACTTCGATATAAAGTTTTACAAAACAATTACGTGTTTTCAGAGTGATTAACTGTCACCCTTTGCGGATATCTCAATAAGTACTCACCTTGGAAGACTAAGAGAGGCTGTTAAGCGGTAAAAATGACGAACGCCGGCCTCGGATTTATGTAATCTTTATGCTGATGTTGATAGGTGACAATGCATTGGGCTATTGACGCAGTATAAGACGGTACTTCAGCTAACCGTATTTCATGAATAGCGATGAAGGATACGTGCTTATTGACTAACAGAAGGGCCCGGATGGGAAGGCATTTGGTACAAGGAAATGACAAACGCACGAACTTTGCGCAGTTCCCGTTCGCTTTGAAATTTGTCCAAGTGGACAAAGGTCACCAAGAGAACGCTAGAAAGGCTCACTTCTTATTATTTGGAATGCAAATCTATGCAGGTTAACGCAAGAGTGGGCACTAAAATATCACAATAAAATATTGCTTGTAATTGTTTTAAATAATCAAATAAATGTTGAATAACAAAAGATACTAGATGCGCCTTCATAGCGCCTGTATCAGCTAAACATATTGTGTTTTAAAAACATCCGGATGAACCTTGCGTACTGCACGTAGAGCGCGTGCTCTGTGAAGTACATTCAAGGTCCTAACAAAGCAATTCTTTGCCGCAAAATAGTTAGGACAGGGAGACTTTGAAAAACGCTGACGTTTTATATTCAAGCATATCACGTTAGCTCTTTAACTCCCAAGATCAGATTGCAAATTCTCCCCTCTAGCTGCTACGCATATTCTTGTAAATTGACAAACCAGAGGCAATGCACCAGGTTCTATTCTGTTTCTGTCGTTCAAGCGGGCCACCATCATCGTGCCCAACAAATTGATCGACAGGTATCTACGAAAGCTTTTCATTCAATTTATTTGTTCTAGTATTTCTCGCCACCATAAAAAAATACGTAAATTGAAGCTTCCCCTTAGGGGCTTTTCAGCCACAGTGCATAGTAACTAAGTGCTTAAAAATCTCCACTGGCAGGAGGCAGACCAGTGGGCTATTTACAGAGTGCAGCCGAGGAGTTGAACTTGGAGCAACCGAGAACAAATCCAGTG